TGCATTGTTTCCAAAAGAATTATGGGCCTGGTGTTGTTAAGTTCTCCTTGCCATTCTCTACCTTTGGAGATTGGATAGAGGAGACTGCTCTTCCAAGATGTTGATATTATTCTGAAGCCGAGGAAAAGATTAAAGAGATTGAGAAGGGTCTTTTTTGCTTTGGGGCCTAGCTTTTTAAGCATTTCATAAAATAATATAATATTATAGAATTTAATTATTCTATAATAATATATATAATATTTATAAAACAGTTACTAATGAATTAAAAAAAATTTTTAAGTAAATTATTATATTCAAAGAATTGAATTTAATATTACTTGCCAAAATATTGAATCTATTAGTCAAATATTATAAGACTTTATATAAAACAATAAACTTTTGAAAACTATTTACAAATTATATTAATGATTAGATAATTATTTAAAATAGAACAAATTAATATAAATGATGTCAAATAGAAAGTGAAATTTTTAATTCATTTATATTTTTACAAAATATAAAAGGTTTATTTATATTAATCTGATTTGTAAATCATTATAAAAATTTTAATTTATTTTTAAAACAAGTTCAATTTTTTTTTATATATTTGATTAATTTTCTAAATAATATTATATATTATAAATTGGCTTTTATTTGATGGTTTAAACTAGTTAATTTGGCAAATTTGAGATTTTATTTTGGCTCAGAAAATAAAATAAATATTGAATTATGAAATATTGAATTTTATTTAATTAAATACAAATATATAATTTCTATTTACAATATTTTTGACCAATTTATTTCATTTAAATATAAAATTTCAAATCAATATAATTCTTGCAAATATTTAACTATAATTTTACTATTTGATTAAAATTAAGTATAAAAAAATTTATATTTAATTTTAATTTTTTTAAAAATAATTCAAATTTTATTTTTTTTTAAAATTTATTTTTCAATTATTATAATTAATTTACAAATATAAATATGTTGTGAGTATTAACAAATTAAATAAAAATAAATATTATTTTATTATTTGATATATATTAAATTATTATTGAATAATATTATATCAAATGGTTTATATTCAAATATTTAATAAATAGCAATATACTAAATGGCACTATTTTGACTAGTAATATATAAGAACTTTCAGAAGAGTAAGTTTTCATATATAAATATATATTTCAATATACAATATATTTTTATTTTATTATATTTCTTTGAAAATCAAGAATTATATTACAATAATTTATTATTAAAAAAATATTTTTTTATTTTTCTAATAAAACAAATTGATATTTTATAACCATTAAATATAAATTCTTATTTAAGGGTCTTAAATATAATGTTTATTATTTTAAACTTTTATGATAAAATTAATTATAAAATAATATATAAAAGTTAAATTTGTAATAATAAGTTTTTTAAATTTAATAAAAAATTTGTAAATAAAGAAATAATTTAAAAAAAAGATTAAAAAAAATTGTTTAAAATTTTATTTTATATTTAATATTAAAATTCAATAAATTATAAAGTTTATAAATTGTAAAATAAAATTATAAAATAGTAAAATTATAATAAATATAACTAGAATTTGCTGGATTTTTTTATTATGCAATTAAATAATAAAATTTTTTTAAAAAATTAATTAATAGTAAACATTAATAAATTTATTAATAAATTCTAGTAAGTCTCAGAAATATATTCAAAGTGTTGGTCAAAATAATTTATTTTTATTTAATTTGTTAAATTTATTCTTTTATATAATATTTAATATTTAAGCAAAATTAAATTTGTGATTGTTTCTAATTAAAGTTTTGAAGTTTATGTTGATCATTAGAAAAAAATAAAAAATTTTTCTTTCCTTAAATCATGGCACCTCCAAATACAAAAAAATATGTAGCTGACGGTAAATGAAGTCTCCGCGTCGAATGAATTAATGCTCGTGATACTCAGGATATTTACTTTGCGATTTGATCTGTAGTGGTTATCTTTGCTTTATCCCAAGTAGCACTTTACTTTGCCGTGAAATTTATTCTTAGTTCGCTTGATCCTCTTAAGGATAAAAAGAAAGAGTCAAAAGCAAGGAGCGAAGAAGTTTTGGGGAAATTGGGGGCAAGTATAGAAGAAAGTTTGACCGCTTTTGATTTTATTTTTAATGCAAATTTCTTTCTGACAGATAAAGAATTTGAAATTGAATGAATACGAAGAAGTGATCTTGACAGAAGTAATATTTCCCGATGAAATTTCAGTAAATTTTAATCGTATGTTTATTTCACAAATTTTCTCGTTTCAACTTCACGAAAACGTTAACTCATTCTAAAAATTACATGTATCAGAAATTGGAGGTAACTATAAGAACGTTGCGTTTGTGGAAGGCGCATTCTGAACTAAAGAACTTATTTACATAGGTCTTGATCCAATCATCCAGTCTCTTCGGGAGTCTGTTATCTATCCTTTATGCTATCCGCAACTGTTCACTTCTTCCTCTGGGTTGTTAGGAGTTTCTAAAGGGGTATTACTTCACGGCCCACCTGGTATATAAAGAATCTATTGTTAATCGCACTAGAAAGGCATTATTCAAAATCTCATTATGATAATAATAGGGTGCGGCAAGACCATGCTCGCTAAGGCGCTCGCTCGAGAATCTGGTGCCACCTTCATAAATCTTCATGTATCAACATTAACGGACAAATGGTTTGGAGAATCAAATAAGCTAGTCTCTGCGGTTTTTTCTGTCGCAAAGAAATTGCAACCGTGTATCATCTTCATTGATGAAATTGACGCTTTTTTGAGAGAAAGGAGAAGTAACGATCATGAGGTTACTGGTATGATGAAGGCTGAATTTATGAGGTGAATAGTGGTAATAACTCATAATTCATAATTTTTTAAAAAAAGTCCTAATACTAAAAGGAGAATTGATATTATAATATTTATAAAAATTGAGAATATAATTATAGTTAGTTTAAACTTACATACTTATATCCAATTAGGAGAATGTTATATTCCGAATTTTTAATATTTTTAAAACCTTGATACAAACTAACAAATAATCTCTTAATGATGTACAGTTTATGGGATGGCCTTACCACTGATGAGAATACCCGTATAGTAGTAAGTCATATTGACATCCTTGCAAAATTTTAAGCTTTTCAACATTCTCACTAAATCATATAATAATACTTTAGGTGCTTGGTGCTACTAATAGACCTAATGATATTGGTATTTATATGCTACTTTCTTTCTAGAATATTTTATAATATATCATATTGATTCATTCTATTTCTTTTCGTATAGATTATGCTATTCTACGTCGTATGCCTAAAAGATTTGCAATTCGGCTTCCAAATGACGAACAACGAAGAAATATTCTTGAGATAGTAAGTTAAATGTTGCATAATTTGTGATTTAAATAAGTTGTTACTTTTTATTTGAATAATTTCATTGTGTTTGTAGATGCTCCAGGATCAAAGTTTGGAAGATAATTTTGATTTCAATGAATTAGTAAATAAAACTGTGAATTTTTCTGGTAATTGAAACCATTTATATTATTATAATTAAAAAAATATAATAATTATTAATTTATTATTATTATTATTATATCTTAATTTAGGAAGCGACCTTAAAGAGGCATGCCGGAACGCGGCAATGATTCCAATTAGAGAATATATGCGTAGTCATGCTACACCAGGAGGGGATCTAAAAGATATTGATGTTGAGGTGAATTTCTTTTCTTTTTTTTTAAAAATAATAGAACTTTACAGTTTAAAGGTTTTGATTTATTAGCAAATGAATATTCGCCCTTTGAAAATATCCGATTTCTTTGTTGTCGATGGATCTGGCAGTCAGACGAACAGTCTAACTGCCGAAATTTAGCAGTATATTGAAACATAATAGGTATGATTTCATTTATTACTTTTTTCTTGATTGGATGCATTCGATTGAAGTTATTTTATTTGGAACAGGTACGAAAATATTTATACGAATATTTTTCAAACTCAGATCTCACGAAAGTAAACAATGATAAATTATACGTATTGCTGCCCCTTGGTCACGTTTTCAACACGTTTGAGAATGGATCTTTATAATATATCACTGGTATATTATAATTTGTATATTACTGGAGCATGCGGCAAACGGCGTATAACCTAATACTAGAAATTTCTAATAATAAAGCTTGGAAATTGGTTTAATTCAATGATAGCCATTTTATGTGGTTTCTCGAAACCAATATTGTAGAGTGCAAGTTAAATTTTATAAATAAGTTTTTAATATTTAGTTAATGAACTTATAATTGTTTAATTAAATTTTTAATAAAAATTTTTTATTTATTTCAATTTTCTTTAATATTTACTAATCAATTAAAAAAACATTATTTCTCTAAATTTATTTATTTAAAACTGAAAGTATAAGATTAAATTTGTTAGACCTGTGGGTCCATAGCACAGTGGTTAGTGCTCCACAGGTCAAATCACAAGATATTAGTTCAATCCCATGTAAAGACAGTTGGATAGTATTAATATGGTATTTGGCACCATAACTTGTTATGTGCTATTTCTTATAAGAAGCCATTTTATATGCTAATCCAGTAGGCATTAAGATTGTAATCTTTCTGTTATAGTATAGTAGTGTAACAATCATTCAGATGATATTATGATGATCATCTATGAAAGGAGCCATAGAACCATTCACACATTTGGAAGTACAGACTGGGTTGTATTCTATCTTAACCAATTTCAATTCATCACTCCTTTTTCTGTTAACTGTTAAATAAGAAAACTTTAAAGAAAAGCATTGAACTGATATTAATATCTTGTGTAATATGATTTTTCTCAGACAGTTTAAATATGTAGAAGTTGTATCCTGCTTGGTATTTATACCTTTAAATTTGACAGTCTATACCAACTGGTTCCAAACTGAAGTGTTTACTAGAAGATATAAAACTTGAAACTAGTCTATATAATTCTTAGGAGTCATGCCTCACTTGGTTACAAGAGTCCCTAGATTTGGTAGCAAAAGCCAATCAGCAGATCAAAACCAAAGCATTCACTAGAGATTACATATTTTATATTATCAGCTCTTCTATCACATAGTATATAAGCAAAAAGATATGATATAATAAATAATCTTAGGAAATAGTCAGCAGTATCCACTATCTTTATACAAAATTGGATTAATAGATTAGGTGGTTTAAACTAATAATAGGATTTTCACCTTCTAGATAGGTTCCTTCAAAAAATATAAATCTACTTCATAAGTATCACTAATATTACTGGAACAATAAAGTAGATAGGATAGTATTTAGCTGTTATAATAACAATAGATGATGTCTAATATAATATAAAATTGATATTTATTCAATAAAATCCTATATTTAATACTATTTTATTTTTTTTAAAAAAAAAAAAAAAAAAAAAAAAAAGACCAATGGATCAATAATATAGTGGATAGTGCTTCATGGTCTCCAAATACATGTTCCCAATTCAATATCCACAGGAAATAAAATATATAAATTTATTTTTCATTTGTGAATTTATCAGATTGTTACAAATGTCATACCTAGACATTCGGATCATATCTATATTTAGTTAGGCTGTATAAAGATGGGATCTCTGATCTTTTTGATAATTGCAGGCTGAAAACAGGTCAAAGTAGGAAAGGTTACATAAAAAAAGGTTTCTGATCTAAATCTGATAAAAGCTCACAAAACTTAACCTCCTGGCATGGCAGACTCCATAACACAGTATAAACAAAAGAGGTAGGTCCTAAACCAGCCTATTTTAATCTGATACTTTGAGATCTATTTCATACTAATGCTTTCCGAACTTAAAAATATAGGTCATACAAGGCAAGACCATTAGCCACAGGTGGTGAAAAGATAGGCAAAAATCATCAAGCCAAGTAAGCCTATTGAAAACCAAAACAAGGATAATCAAGAATCCAAGTAAGAATGTTATAACCATAGGTGATAAGAACAGTTGTACTATACTATGCTAGTAATACATCCCGAGGACTGATAATAACAGATAACTAGGATAATTGGGATCAATCTATATAATAATATTCTATAGTTTTCCAATAGTAAGCAGCCATTAAGTTGTCAAATCTAAACTTAACAAAAAGGTAGATTTAAACTGGCAGTAGGATTTCCTATTCCCTGAATTTGTTCTATTCAAAGTGTGGATCTACCCACAAGATATAAGTTGATATAATTGAATTAATAAAGGGGAATAGATAAGCTATTATTAGAAATAGTTAATAGGCAGTGTTAATTCTATATATAGAAAACATAATATATATTTTAATTAATGATTTCATATATAGAAGACACTTGATATCATATCTAGATATTATATATTAATAAAGATTTGTATCAATATATATTTATCTTAAAAAAAAAAATAATAATAATAAAAAATAAGATTAAATTTGTTATCTAATATTAATAAATTTATTTTTTTAAAAATTATAGTTTAATTGAATTAAAAATAATTTTATATTAATTTATTTATTTAAAAATTATTATATTAATTTATCAATAATTGAATTTATAAAAGAACTTATATATTAAATAATCTTTTATTAAAATATTTTTTAATAAAAACCTTAAATATAATTAGTTTGTTTATAAATAATTAGTTTTTTAAAAAAGAAAATAATATTTAAAAAATATTTGTAAATTTTATAAAATATTTGTTAGTTTAATAAAAATAAATTTACTAAATTTTTTATTAAATTTTAAATAAAATTATTTAAAAATTATTAAATTATATATATAATATTATATTATTTTTATATATTTATATATTTTTATATTATATTTTTAATATTATTTTACTTTTATTTTATTTTTAAACATCAGCTGGGCCTTGCTTTATTAACTTTTAAATACTTTATACATATCACATTTTTGTGTATTGTATATAGTTTACTATATGTAAATATATCTAAGAAACTTATATATCGGCTTGTTGCTGTCAGCTTGTCCAAGGACAGAGGCTTGAGCTAACATGCCAAGGCTCTATTAGCTTGTATATAATAGTTTTTGATTAAATGACTAAAGTTCGTGTTGTGTTCCTGTTTGTTATTTTGTATTCTGTTACTAATTAAATACTCACGTATGTGTTTGGTTAGCTGTGTTCGGTCTTTTGATTGGTTACTATACCTATTTCAAAGATTGCTTTTAAGATCCCTATATTCAAAAAAAACCCCGAAAAAAATATTATTATTTGAATATACCAAACAAAGAATATTTTCAAGCCTAAAAGATTACTGATGATACTATTGCTATATAATATTGTTAGGAGTAAAGTTAAACCAGTTAGATTGTATATTGCAATTTTCACATATTGTGTTTAATCTAAACATTAATTACAAAAAATCTTAGTAAGTACAAAGTCTAAAAATAAAGTTTTAGTAGCTATAAAATCTAAAATAATTTGTAATAGCAAATCACAGATATAATTTTAAGATAAAAAAAATAGTAATAAATAAATAGACAAAAAAAAAAGAAAAAACAAGAGAAATCAGAAAAGTGGAAAAACAAATAATAAAAATCAATTAATAAAAAAAAAACCATTTATAAATTAAAATTTTTCTTTTAAAGCTATACAATAAACATTATTTAAAAGAAGAAAAATAATTTAAAATTTTATTCAATTCAATACTCACTACAAAAGTAAAAAAAAGATAATAGAGACTCTTGAAAAAAAAAGAACAAGTAAAAAATTTATCTAGGAAATATAAGTGAAGAAAAGAAAAAAAAAAAGAATTAGAAAGTATACTATCAGCTAAATTAATACGTAATACATATCTCAAAGAAAGAAAATACTTATCCAACTCTAATATAATATGAACCTGTTAGTAAAAATGATAGACTTACTGAAAATTATATCAACAATATATATATTGTTATATATTATTCCTTCAAAAAAAAGATATAAATGGAAAATTCATAGCAAGAAGATATTTTGTATAGATAGACCAATGTAATATACTAAAGTTTATAAGGATATATTAAATTAATACAGTTTGAGATATATGAAATTAAGTGAAAAAAGCAATAGTGATTTGAATTATAAATGTTAAATTATTTTATTAATAAAGAAAAATTTCAATCTTGCAATTCCAGAAAAAATTAGAGATATTTATATACTATTGATATAATTTTTGACAAGTTTGTTACTTCTGCTAACAGGTTTGTATTATATTAAGATTGAATAAGTGTCTTCTTTTTTTGAGATGTGTATTATTAACTTGATAGTATTCTCTCCAATCCTTCTTTTTCTTCTCTTTTTGTTATTCATGTTTTTTAAATGAATTTTCCACTTGCTCTTTTCTTAGAATATCTTTCATTATTTCTTTCTTATGGCAAATACTGAATTGAATAAGATTTTAATTGGTTTTTTTTTTTTGAACAATATCTATTATACAGTCTTAAAAATAAAGATGGGTTTCTAAATTATTTTGCATATACAATAAAATCTCACAGATCAATTATGTTTCTTTTGAAGGAATATAATTATTAATTCATTATTTTAATAGGAATATAATTCCAAAACATTTGGATCAGTAGTCTAAATTGCAAAAAACCTTTGTAGATAGTTTTTTTTGATTTTATATTTAAAAAAAAACTTTTTTAATAGTCAGGAGCATTTAAATTATATCCTTACCTTTAATTTAGGAACCCATCTTTACTTAAAAAAAAGATTTTAATTTATAACTGGTTTTTTTTTTGTTTTTCATTTCTATTATTTCTTCATTTCTTTTTTTTTCCATTTATTTATTTATTACTCTCCTCTTTCTTTTATTGTAACTTTATATTTGTGATTTGCTATTATAAATTATTTTAGATTTTATAATTGCTAAAACTCTGT